TTGCTTTCTGGGGTCTTGGCATTTTATGTTCCTTCATTCACTGAGTTCCTTCGACAGCCACGTCTGTTGGGGCTCTATTGGTTGTACTCAAAGTTGCTGAAGCAGAAAAGGGGCCTTTGCTATCTTCTAGAGACTTGAGATCTTCGTGTGTTTGGTTACTTTTTTCCCAGAACTATCTTCATCTCCTCTTCACGTGGTGTGGTCCTCCTCATCGTCCTGTCTTAGCTTGACCGTCACTTCCTCATAGAGGCCTGTTTTCATCCCATCCTGTTCCATTTGGTGTCTGTTGTGGGAGAGAGGGAGTGCGGCTGAGCACACACCCTGTTGGGCTTTCCTGTAATTCACAGCGAGCCCTACAGCCAGTGTGCACTCAGGCCACACGGCACATGGGATGAGAAGTGTACCGTCCCTGCCCTCAAAGTACCCACAACCCGGCGAGGGTGCCAGGCAAACCAGCCGGAGAAGGTTCAGTGAGCCACTGGGATACAGCAGTGGACCATACAAGAACGACAGAACAAGAGCCAAAAGGTTCCATTGTCACGAAGCTAAATGAGTAGACAAGAAAAGTCAGTAAAATATATGGCGTAGACAGCTGAGATACGAAATATCAGCCCAGTGTCTGAGTCCATCCTCGGAGTGGGCAGGGGTTACCCCCCTGCTTCTAATGCAGTCACAGAGTGTCAGAGAAGAAGGAGCCCAGGGTGATGCAGGGCGAGCTGGGCAGAGCCAGAGGGAATGTGTTTCCCTTCCACTCACCCTTCATGGGCACTCTTTTCTAATGGGCCACCGTCCTGTGCCATGGCCTTCATGGTTCAGGTATGCCCATTGCTGTTCCTTTTGGGGAATCTGTGTCCTGCCCGTATTAGCTAAAGGATCATTTTGTGGCTTTAACCGCGGTCCTTGGGGTCCACATCCAGGCTGGGAGGTAACCCCCGCCCACTCTGAGGAGGGACTCAGACACCGGGCAGCAGACACCTGAAAAGCCGCCCCAAAGAGATGAGGCTGAGGGCGCATGTGGTGACCGGCCGTGGGCCCCGCCCCACGTTGGCCGCTCGGGACAGCCCTTCCAGCGCGACTCTGGTCCTGTGACTTTGACCTCCCTGGCGTTCTTTGGGATCATCCAGGGCAGGGTCTCATAACCCAGAAAGTTGCTCAGAGTCTCAATCCTAGTTCCTCATCCCTGAGAGGGGTTAACGCTGCCTGCCTCCCCAGGTTTTGGGGCGCACAGCTGAGATCATAGGCCTTAAGCCCTAGTAGAGCGGCTGAGGGACAGTGACTCTGCAGCTAGAGCTCGCCAGGTCAGTTGTGGTGGGAGAAATGGAGTAACTTTGTACACCAACAGCCTCTTTCTTTCTTTGTAATCAGTCTTTTCTTTTCCCGGGCTGTGGTGTGAGCCAGATATAGCCATTTCATCGGCCGGCCTTTTCGAGGTCCCTGTAGCCTCAGGTAAATACCACGTTTTCCGGTCGACTCTCCCTGCAGTTCTCAGGAGGATCTTGACAGAAAACAAGATAGTCTCAGAGCATTGCTCTTTTATGATTAGTCATGGATCTGCACTGCATTATTTTAATTAGGCAGCAAAAGATTATGTCAAGTGCTCTCCCAGGCCTGTTGACAGGGACTGTCAGGGGCTGCTGAAACATTCGTAATAAGTATTGCCCGGACCCCGAGGCCCCTGTAGGGCTGGTTTTTAGGAGCCCCCTTCTTTCTTTGTCTCTCGCAGAGCCCTGGGAGTATATCCATAAAAGGCTGACTCTTGATCCCAGATGAGGTGATTCCATTTATTCATTTCAGAGTATCTTTTTAGCACTTAATCTTTTACTCTTGGAGTCAAGTGTATTGGTAATGAGTGAAAATATTTATCACTTCGGAGAATGGTTCTATCAACTTTCCTCCCCTCCTGTGGCAGCGGAGAACCCAACACATCTTGCTCACGCTGCCTGGGCACAATAGTGATGCTTTTATGTGAGTCACGAGTCTACCTGAAAGTACGGGCGGCTGAGGTTGTATCCAAGATGTGTGGAAATGTGCGGCTCTGTGTTTGAAAAATGATGATACTATGCTTAAGAACAAGTGTCCATTGGTCTCTGATTATGATTTGTCTGCCTTACATGGGTAAGTTTTCCCCCCACTTAGGACTTGCAGAATTAGTAGAATCTAGAATCTGAGGTTCGTTCCCCTGGAATGAGGATGTAATTATATTAATCTGTTTACAGTATTATTTCCTTTTGCTGTTCTTGCTGTGTTGCTCATGTGAGATACACAAAAATTCCATTTTTTGCTGCTTGTCCGGTTCAGTTTAGTAAAATGCAGAGTATGTTCGGTGTGTGCCATGCCCTCAGGTGCCGGGGGTGCCGGGATGAATAAGACACGGTCCCTGTGGGCAGCCACGGCAGCCCCGGGCTTGTGACCAGGCAGTGGCCGTCGGGCACGGACAGAAGCACCTGGAGAGAAGGTGTGCGGGATAAGGAGGCGGGGAGCTGACTCTCAGCCCAGTTGGCAGAGATGTTGTTCAACTTGAGTTGTGAGTGACAGTGAAGAATGGCCAGATGCCGAGAGGCGGTGCACCCCAGGCATGGAAAATATTAGCCAAAGCTTGGCAGAATGGTCCCAGAGCAGAAAGACTTTCTAACATGGAGAGTGGAAGTCTGAGAGGAGGGCCAGGTCAGGGAGGTGAGTTCGGTTCTGCAGGGTCTCCATGCTCTGGAGCTTCAGCTTTGTTCTGCCTGTTGGGTGTCATTGATGGGTGTCCAGGAAGGGCTGTGGGAGAGCTTGTGTGTGACATCATCTGGATGGAGGATGGGGTGTCCGTGTGGATGGATGGATGCATGATGGACGGAGGGAGGAGGAGGGGTGGTAGGGGGGGTACGTGGATGGTGAGCTGATGGATAGATGGATGGATGGATGATGGATGGAGGGAGGAGGGGGAGGGGTGGATAAGGGGATGCATGGATGGTGAGCTGATGGATAGATGGATGGATGGACGGAGGGAGGAGGGGGAGGGGAGGGAGGGGGTGCATGGATGGTGAGCTGATGGATAAATGGATGGATGGATGATGGATGGAGGGAGGAGGGGGAGGGGTGGATAAGGGGGTGCATGGATGGTGAGCTGATGGATAGATCGATGGATGGATGATGGATGGAGGGAGGAGGGGGAGGGGTGGATAAGGGGGTGCATGGATGGTGAGCTGATGGATGGATGGATGATGGACGGAGGGAGGAGGGGGAGGGGTGGATAAGTGGGTGCATGGATGGTGAGCTGATGGATAGATGGATGGATGGATGATGGATGGAAGGAGGAGGGGGAGGGGTGGATAAGTGGGTGCATGGATGGTGAGCTGATGGATTGATGGATGGATAATGGATGGATGGAGGAGGGGGAGGGGTGGGTGGGGGGTGCATGGATGGTGAGCTGATGGATGTATGGATGACAGATAGAGAAGAGAGTTACCTGAAGGCAAGAAGACCAGTTTATAGGCTTTTGCCCTTTTTCAGGGAAGAAGTGAGGAAGGTCTACACCAGCGTGGAGGTATTGAAGCAGAGTACCAGGTCCCTGACTTTGCGATCGGTGCGGGGGGTGGGGTGAGGGCGAAGAACTGGGAAGGCTAGAGGTAGGACACACTTGATGGGGAAGATAATAAGTCCAGTTTAGCGCATTTGGGTCAGCTAAGCAGGAGTGCAGCAGACCGTTGGATTCTCAAGTCCCAAGATCAGGGAAGGGTCGAAGGTGGAGAAGAATGAAAAAGTGAGAGTGGAAGGTCCAGATGTCGGCCTTAAAGGCTTGCAGAAGTCCGCAGGGGAAGGTTACGCGCAGGGAGGCTCGTAGCAGGAGAAGAAAGGAGCGTGTGCCGGAGCGTGGGCCAGAGCGTGGTGGGGTGCCGGTGTGTGAAAGGTGGGGACGGGGGAGGCTGCCTCACCGACACCAAGGACACTGGCCTGTTAGCAGAGCCCTGTGCAGCCGAGACCAGTCCCACACGGGCTGAGATCCGCCACTGGCCGGGCATCCCGGGTTTTCCTTGGCAGGAACGGCTTTCCGGTGCCTGGTGCCCTGAGGCATTTTCACTGGGTTTGCAGGGGCACCAGGCCGGCGGCTGCACGGCTTGTCTGAGAAGGAAAGAAGTGCCAGGCCCCTGAGAGGGGCCTGTGTCTCTGTGCTTCCATGGGCCGTCTCCGTGCTCCTGGCTCCCTTAGAAACTGCTCAGTGAACGGTTGACCGCTACCCGAAGCCGGTCAGGCTTATATTTGGTCCTGCGTTTGTACCATGGCCTGTTGAGGTTTGACTTTCTGCTAACCTGGGGTTGAAAAAGGTAGCGGGCCCGTGTATCCAGTAACTCGTGTGAACAAATCATGGGCCTGTTCATCCCAGTGACGAATGCCGACGTGTCACCCAAAGAGCAGTGTTTTGTTTCTGTGTGGCTCCTCTCTAGTGTCTCCTCCGACCTGCCTTGTGTGTTCCCACCAGGGTTAGAGGTTCCAGACACGGATTGTGCTGCCTTGCTCGGGGGCTCTGTGTTCTCCTGGCTCTTCGGGACAGCGCGTCACTCTGGGTCAGATGCCACAGGCCCTTGGTCCTGTGGCCGCACAGCCTCTCCGGGGCCAGCGCTTGCCCCGCTGCAGATCCCGCTCTCTAGGTCCCGGAAGGAAGACCAGGGGCTCCAGTCCCTGGGCACCTGGGTCCCCGCCTCGGTGCTTGCCATGTGCACCTCTTTCCCGTAGCCAGCTGGGTGCACCTGAGACACCTCACCCTGTCCTTAGGAGCCTGCTCGGGTGTCGTCGGGGCCCCCCAGGCAGGCTGGCTGTCCTTCTCCCTCCACGGCAAGCCCCTTTCTGTTACCACTTGTGTGGCCGGAGTGTGCTGTGCTGCCTGGTGTCTGTGCACGTGTGGACTGCCCCCCGCCCCCAGGCTCTGGACCACCCACGTGGCAAGGGGCATCCTCGCATACCTGCTTACACTCCTGGCCCTTCATGCACGTGCTCACCTTGCCCTCCCTTCTTTGCAGGGAAGCAGTTCAAGTGCACGGTGTGTGACTACACGGCTGCCCAGAAGCCCCAGCTGCTGCGGCACATGGAACAGCACGCCTCCTTCAAGGTGAGGGGGCTCGGCGCGTGGGGTCCCTCCCGGTTCATGCTGCGAGCCCATCGTTGGGCAGAATGGAAGGGTCATTCTTTGGGGGTGTTCCCCTCACTTCCGGGCCCCCCAAGCTCATACGCATCAAGTCCGGGGTAGAGCTCACGTCTCCACTTCCAGAAGTGTGGTGTCTCTCTGCCCTTTAGAAGCCAGGTCCAGGGACCGAGTGTGAGACCATGAAGGTCAGAGAAGCGGTGTGCTCTTCCTGTGGATACCCACAGAGATTTAGAGGAAGGGATGTGAGCTGTGACAATGGGTGCTTTCAGATCCTGGCTTGCCTCAGGTGGGTCTCCTGGCACAACAGGTGTGCCGGCGCCCACCTGGAGAGCTGGACGTGGTGCCCCTGCAGTGCCCCCTGTGGGCCCGGCATGTCACCGTGGCTCAGGGTCTGCTGGCTCCCGTGCTTGTTGCATAGCTGTGACTCCTCTCTCTTTAGCCTACATGCTAATTTCCACCTGGCCGCTGTTTGTGCCGCAGCTTTTGACCATGAGAAGTGCGGCCCAGTGAACTTGCCTGATAAAAACTTTTGCTCGGTGCAGGCAATTCAACCCTCAAAGCTGCTGCTGCACATGCACGTGGTGTGGAGAGCAGGGTGCTCTCAAGTGTTTGCTGAGATCGTGTGCAGTGCTGAAACCGGGAGAAGTAGCATGTGGGCGGGCCATGGGCCGCCACACCTGCAGGCTGCGTTTATTGAGCCTCCGCTGTATGCCTGCACTCCCCATCAGCTGTCGCCGTCCCACAGCAGACATCATCCACGTTTGACAGAACCCCAGAGCTGTCGGCAGCTCTTCTGATGCTCAGAACAGCCTTGTGAGAGATGGGTTCCCAGGATCTCACCTCATCCGGTTAAGCCACCAGGTGGCTCAGAGGGGTTAAGGGCTTGTGTGCTTTACATATCCAGGAGGTGAAGGAGCCAGAACTTGGACTTCTCCCCTTGCGTCTCCTCGGGAATCCTTGTGGTCAAGAGGGGGCACATGGGGAACACTGAGGGGCCATGCCTGTTGCCTGTGTAGCGGCTCCAACGTGGCTGTGGTGGGCCTGTGTTTCTCAGGTGGGATGTGCTCGTCACCCTGTGGGAGTGGCAGGGGGTTCCTGAGCGCCCTGTGGATTGTTATGACATTATAGTGGAGCGCTTCATCTCCCGTTTCACAGCCGCAGACGTGTTTCTCTGGGGACCCTGGACTCCCACACACAGCGCAGTCTGGGTGCCAGGGCGGCCCTCGCTCTGTAGATGAGGAACTTGGACCTGGCGAGGCTACTTGCTGTCCTTGCTCTCCCAGCATCGGAGCTAGATTTTTCATTTGTTCATTGGTTTTCAGTGCGGAACGTTTTTCCTTCCCCGACCAGGCACAGCTGAACGGTCTCTCTGCCCCGACATCGTCACTGTTTTCTCTCTAAGGTTTGCAGTCTTTGGCTTGTGTGCAGAGGAAGTGGACCTGGGGATGGTTTGTGCTCAGGTGTCACCCTCCTGTGAGTCCTCACCTGTTTGTGGCCGTCACACAGCTGCCGTCCGCTGCCCCGGGGGTCACTCCTGGTTTCCCACGGGCGCCCTGTGGCTTCAGGTGCCCTCCCCCGCTGGAGGGAGAACTGCTCAGTCAGACTTTGGCCTCTCTCCTCCTCCGGGTTACGTTCTCTGGTGTTTCTCCCAAGACTGGGGGCGGACACAGCAAAATGAAGCTGGTTCCTGCCAACCACCCTCATTCATGCTGATGAGATTATCATAGTTTCCTGTCACTGCTCGGACAGCCACCTCCGGCTCAGTGGCATGCAGCATCACCAGGCATTATTGTGTAGCTCCGATTTCAGTCCAGATCTCACTGAGCTAAGGGCAAGGTGACGGCAGGGCTGTGTTCTTTCGGGAGGCTCTCGGAGAAGATCCATCGCCTTGCCCTTTCTGGCTTCTGGACGCCACCCGCATCCGTGGCTCCTGGCCCCAGCCCTCCATCTGGAAACCAGCAACATAGCTTCCCACTTCTCTTCCGAGTCTTCTGCCGCCCTGCTCCCTTCACCCATGAGGACCTTTCACCTGTGGGCCCGCTAGGGTGGCCCAGAAGAATGTCCGTACCTTAAGGTCAGGCGATTAACACCCTCAGCCCTGCCTGTGGTCTTCACTTCTTTTTGTCATGTGAGCCTCCAGATACCAGGACTCGGACATCTTTGTGGACGCGTTATTCCGCCTACTGCATTCCCTCCCCCCCACCTCCTTGCTCTGTTTTCTTCCTTTCACATCTGCTCCCTGGCAGAAGACTTTTATCAGAATCCGAAAATACATAGTATGCGTGGTCCTGCACTCCCTCTGCATACCAGTGGCAAACATTCCCGAGAAATCAGGCCCTTCTGTTCTAGCAATCCTCGGTGAGGCCTCAGTCTTCGTGCAGACACTGCTAATCTATTGCAGTTGACTTGCAAGAGGAAACCAATTTGCCTGTGTAGATCTAGATGTATAATTTGCAATATATAATTTGTGTCAGGAAACACTGTAATAAGGGCAAACTTTTGTATTGCCTCTTAAAATTACATGTTGTTATTTATTTATTTTAAGAATAATATGTGTTCACTAAATAAGCTTAGGAAAGTGCTTTTCATTCCCTTTCTTTGTACAGTTTTTGGATATATTATTTTTTTAGACATAATTGAGGTCTTACTGTAAATGAGCGTTTTTGGGTGGAGATTAAAACATCAGCTTTACCACCAATAAAGCTCTATTAGAGAATGAGGCTTAAATGAGTGGCCAGATGGTTTGCTAAGAATACTTCGCGTTTGAGTTAGAATAACCTCCCAGTCAAAGGCAGGGCTGGAGAGCCTGCCTGATTAGGACATTATAAATATTGCCTTTTTGAAATCTTCATTTCATAGGCATTTTCCCATTTCATGAAAATATAGTTACTGTAAAACCGTTTGTAATGGCTGCTTAAGGATGAGTATCATAGTTCAATTAGCCATTCCCCCTAGTAATTGGACAGTTTGGTGGTTCCCAGGTTTGCCGTGACAAGTAACTCCACGATGGACATCTTCATGCCAAAAGCATTTCCAAGCCATCCTGATATCGAAAGGACTATAAAACATGGGGTGAAGCCCATCAAACCACTGAGAATTCATAAGCAGCGAGGGTGTTCTGGGCGCCTCTTGCAGCTGTAATTAAAGTGCATTCCTGAGGGTGGAATGGACACTATCCATTGTGTGCAAGAAGATGCTTGCATGGGACGGGGTGCCCCTGAGCCAGGGGCGTCCCCACAAAATGGGCTCATTCCCCGCCTCTAGCTGTTCAACTCTTTGCTTTCTTGCAAATAAGTAAGCCAGCATTCTGCCCGGTAAGGCAATGTGATCACAGGCTAGACTTGTTCAGTTTTCTCTCTCCGTTGAGCTCCGTCAGCCCGCAACTCTGTTGATAGAAATGTTCTCAGTGATGGGGCCAGGTGACTCAGTGGCAGTTTCCTTACACGTAATCAGGAATGACTTTATTTCATTTAGAAAGTTTTATTTTAAAATTATTTATTTATCTTTAATTTTGTTTTAGAGAGGGGCAGGGGGAGAGAGAGAGTCTTAGGCGGGCTTCATGCTCAGTGTGGAGCCTGATGTGGGGCTTGATCCCTGACCCTGGGATCGTAACCTGAGCCGAAATCAAGAATCGGATGCTCAACTGACTGAGCCACCCGGGTGCACCTAAAATGATTTTAGACTCCTATAAAGTCTAGCGGATTTCTCAGGTACCTGTCCCCCATCTTCCCTCAATGATAACGTCTTTAACCGCAGTGTGCCATCAAAACTAGGGGACTGACTTTGGTATTCTCCATTAACTATACTGCAGAAAGTTGGATTTTGCCAGTCTTCTTTCTTTTTTATTAAATCAAGTGTTCTTAAAGTAGTTTAGATTCACAGCACGACTGAGAGGAAAGTACAGAGAGGTCCCATATACTGTCTGGCCCTGCTCCCCACATACAGCTTCCCCCATTTTCAGCATCGCCCCCAGACTCATCCATCTGTCACAATTGATTAGTCTGTATTGATACATGGTGCTCACCCAAGGCCATAGTCTACATTAAGGCTCAGTGTCGGTGTTCTGCATTCTGTGGGTTTTGACAGATGAATCATGACGTGTATCCACTGATAAGGTTGTCATGTAGAGTGGTCTCACTGCCTTGAACATCTCCTGTGCTCTGCCTGTTCCTCCCTTCCCTCCTCCCCTCCCCCTTACCCCCTGGCCACCTCTGACTCTCTTACTGTCTTCACAGTTTTGCCTGTTCCAGAATGTCATAGAGTTGGAATCATACAGTCTGTAACCTTTTCAGGTTGGCTTCTTTCACTCAGTAATATACATTTAAGGTTCCCCCAGGTCTTTTCATGACTTGAGAGTGCCATTTCTTTTTAGTACTGAATAATATTCCACTGTCTGGATGGGCCGCAACCTACTGAGGGACATCTTGGTTACTTCTAAGTTTTGGCAATTACAAATAAAACTGCTTAAACACTGTGTGCAGACATAATCCCCCAACTCCTTTAGGCAAATACTGAGGACTGTGATTGCTGGATTGTATGGTAGGAGTATGTTTAGCTCTGCAAGAAGCTGCCACACTGTCCTCCAGTGTGGCTGTATCATTTTGCTTCTTCAGTAACAGTGCATGAGCGTGTCTGTGGCTCCACATCTTCACCAGCATTTGGTGTTGTCAGTGTTCTGGACTTGGGCCGTTCTGAGAGCTGGGAGGTGTATCGCCTCAATCTTGCTTTAATTTGTGTTTCCGGGATGATGGATGCTGTGGACCATCTTCCTTGTGCCTGCTCATCATCTGTTACCTGTGTTAGTGATGTGCCTGTTCAGGCATTTTGCTCATTTTTTTACTCAGGTTGCTCATTTTCTGATGGCTGAGTTGTAAGAGTTTATATGTTTTGTAAAAACAGTCTGTTATCAGATACATCTTGCAAATATTTTCTCCTAGTCTGCAGCCCATCTCTTCATTCTCTTG